TTTGCTGCATTGCCTACCAGTGCTTCATAATCCATTTAATTAATTATCTAAAAACAAAATCACATTAGTGAGCACAACACGAGAAAATACACATGGGGGAAAAAAATCAGGATTGCATGCATTAGATTTATAGTTTGTTACTGACATTTTACTTTTTAGCACAAACTAATAATTGCCTACTCTGTTTTATATGGAGTTAAATATTGATGTTGTAATTAGAATAAGCAATATTTATTCACATATATTATTCACTGATATAATATTGGGGGTCATCTTTTGCTCCCAGTTCCAAGCAAAGCTGTATGAATTTACATTGTTTGTCTCAGAGCAAAATGTTAAAGTTGTGTTCCCAAATAAATCACACTGGTTGAGTAAATGATTCAGTGACTCAAATAAGAAGGGCCAGACAGAATATGTGGATTTGCTGGAAAATCTGTGGATTTATGTTGAATGATTTGGGGAGTACTTAACCTAAACGCTTATAACATGAATTCAAAAATGACAATGTTTACAATGCAAATTTATTTAGATGTACTTATTTGTACTTATTTTGTACTTACTTATCCATAGAGAATTAGTTGGCATGTAGATGCAATGTAACTTAAATTCAACAAAATCTGTTAGAGACCATTAAAAAAGTGATACCAATAAATTAATAAATTAACAAACAAATAATATAATATAATATAATATAATATAATATAATATAATATAATATAATATAATATAATATAATATAATATAATATAATATAATATAATGAAGGTGAATTGAGTAAGCTAAATTGTCCATAGTGTGTGTGTGAATGAGTGTGTATGGATGTATCCCAAAGATGGGTTGCAGCTTGAAGGGCATCCGCTGCATAAAATATATGCTGGATAAGTTGTCGGTTCATTCCACCGTGGCAACCCCAGATTAATAAAGGGATTAAGCTGAAAAGAAAATTAATTATAATATAATATAATATAATATAATATAATATAATATAATATAATATAATATAATATAATATAATATAATATAATATAATATTCTGTATACCAATGTCTTCACATCAACACACCTGTCTACTATGTAGTGCATACTTATTGTAGTGGTGCAAACATGGGAGATGCTATCTGACATACCAGGCGAAAGGAAGCATTCCGGGGCTTTAATGTGCAATAAGATATTCCGGAGTAATTGTAGCTCTGGGATCACAGCGAGACATGGGGGGAAACCAGGCAAAGAGTGATAGAGAGAGAGCGAGAGAGAGATTTGAGGAATGTTGGCATGTAATTACCCATGCCTGTTACGAGCCCTAGGAGGGGTAGCAGCGCTGATTAGTGGACAGTGAAGATAAGACGGCCGATTTGAGAGAGCAAGGAGTGAATGATGGAGGAGAAAGGAAACGGCCCAGCCAAACCAAACTTCCTTCCAAACACTAATTCTAAGCTCGGGGTGATTAACACCTGTTATTTTCGCTCGGCTTTTAACAATGTCTTCCTCTGGCTGCTGTCCTTTAAACTCTATTAGGCTTTCTGGTACGCTTTCGTCAAATGAAAAGCAAGGCTCCCCCCTCTCTCTTTAGCGCATAGTTGTTTTTATTCACTCGAGGGCTGAGTAGAGGAGCACACGGGACTCTGGGACTCGTCATTGATGTGAGAGGACAAAAGAAGGGTGGAGGGTGAAAAAGAAAGAACACCCTAAAAGAAAACAAGAGGTGCATTCATTAGCCTGAAACCGCAGCGTGATTTTAACTCAATATAGAGTCTGACATTTTGACTAATATCCAATTCTCAGCTGAACTCTGAAAGCGCACGCATGCAGGTGGTGACCTTCAAGTTTTGGCAACCTCGGCTACCAAATATATGCCACAATGCAATTCAAGAAGATTCGACAGATTCCAACCAGATGTTTTCATATCTGTCCAAGGTTAAGCAAACTCTCTTTCTCCACAGCTAATGGCAGACTGTATTCAGAGAGATGGTTTTACCTAAACATTTTTTTTAGTGATACAGTGAATGTTTTAAACTTTTCAGAATGTAAATTTCTTCAATATATATTGTACTACAACAGCTTCATGTTTCAAGCTAATATCTTTTTAAATTTGCTTCAATAAATCCAATACAATGAAGATCAACAATTAACTAAATTAAGCTCTGAGTCTTTAATACTTGCTCAGTGAGTCAGGGTGCTTTCACACTTGTACAGATTGATTGTTTTGTTCCAAAACGGATTCAGATTGCTACAATGTGGCTCTTTGTTCTTGGTGGGGTTCACTTTTACACTGCAAAGTTTCTTAACGGACCAAAATAGCTAAAACAAGTCACATGCGAGTAAACTCTCCTCAAATAGGTCAATTCCCAGTCAGCTGTCATGCATCCTTGCTTCATTTATGACGATGAGCAATAAGACATTATAAGCGAAACACTGCACTTTAATTTTTTATGGTGACACCCACAGACATAGTTTCCAAATATAATTCAGAGGTAAAACTTTCTCATACATAGCCTCTGGCTAGAAATATGCATTACAGGCTTTACATTATAGAGAGAAATAGAACCAGATAAATCAAGAGTGCAGTTCGGTCTGCCCCTACAGTCAAATAGTGGCATTGAAATGCTGAATATTTTGAAATTGTAGAGCCAACACAATCCATCATTGTCACCAAAGTTGCCACATTTTTAGGTTTTGGTTGGTCTGAACTGACTGAAAGAAAAAGAAAAAATAAAAATCTAAAAATAAAATAAGCATATTTTTTAACATAAATACCTAGCTGAAAAATATGGGCAAAATCATAAAAAACACAAGGCTTGATATAAAATTTTTTATCACCAGCCACAATGGCTAGTAGTTTTTCAACATTACTAGCCGCTTGGCATTTTCCCTAGCCATATATTATGTTGTTAGGAAAATATATGCACACATTTGACTTTGGCATGCTGAAATGACTTAATTTAGATTTTGCGCTATGTTTACATGAGTCCTCAATCACTTAACTTTTTATTTGTTTTGTATGAACTTGCTCAATGAGCATGAGCAAATGAGTTGTGTTTTCATAGTGTGGCATTGCAATTTGCGTTTCACAAGACCAAAATTTACCAATTTTTTTCTCTGGCCACACCAATAAATAAATAAATAAATAAATAAATAAATAAATAATTTCTTAGCCACAAATTAAAACAATTAGAAATTTTCAAAACAAGAAACAAAATAAATTACAAAACAAAATATAGCTGTATACGTACACTTTTTATTCAACAGAACTTTTCTTTAAAAAAAAAAGAAAAAAAAAGTTTTTTTAAAAATGAATTATTTTCATGTATCTAGAACTATGCAGACTGTCAAATGGGAAGTAAATCTGTCAAAGCAATGCTATTGTAAAGGATGATAATCAAACCATAAACAAAAAAACACCAGTTGTTTTTGTTAGTCATGCTCCTTCTGGGCATCTTTATTGTCGAACTTTAAAAAACTGACATACTACAAGGTCCTTAGCATTCAAATCCTTTGCTGTGACACTCATATATATTTAACTCAGGTGCTGTCCATTTCTTCTGATCCATCTACATCTTTAAGATCGTTCTACACCTTCATTAAAGTACAGCTGAGTTTGATTATACTGGTTGGACTTAATTAAAAAAACACACACCTGTCTATATAAAAGCTTACAGCTCACAATGCATGTCAGAACAAGTGAGAATCATGAGGTCAGAGGAACTGTCTGAAAAGCTCAGAGACAGAATTTTGGCAAGGCACAGAGGTTCAAGGCCAATGTTACAAAAACATTTCTTCTGCACTTATGATTCCTAAGAGCACAGTGGCCTCCGTAATCCTAAAATAGAAGACATTTGGGATGATCAGAACCCTTTCTAGAGCTGGTCGCCAGGCCAAACTGAGCTATCGGGGGAAAAAGAACCTTGGTGAGAGAAGTAAAGGAGATCCCAAAGATCACAGTGGCTGAGCTCCAGAGATGCAGTTTGGAGAAGGGAGAAAGTTGTAAAAAGTCAACCATCACTGTAGCCCTCCACCAGTAGGGGCTTTATGGCCCGACACATGAAAGCCTGCATGGTGAACTCCAGGATGATGAGAAATAAGATTCTCTGATCTGATGAGATTAAGATAGAACTTTTTGGCCTTAATTCTAAGCGGTATGTGTGATGAAAAGCAGGCACTGCTCATCAATACAGTCCCAACAGTGAAGCATGGTGGTGACAGCACCATGTTGTGGGGTTGTTTTTCAGCTGCAGGGACAGGACGAATGGTTGCAATTGAGAGAAAGATGAATGTGGCCAAGTACAGCTACGACCCTAAGCACATAGCTAAAATAGCGAAGTGGCTTCACAACAACTCTGTGACTGTTCTTGAATAGTCCAGCCAGAGCCCTGGTTTAAACCCAATTCAGCGTATCTGTATAGACCTAAAAATAGCTGTCTGCCAACATTTACCATCCAACCTGACAGACCTGGAGAGGATCTGCAAGGAGGAAAGGCAGAGGATCCCCAAATCCAGGTGTGAAAAACGTGCTGCACCTTTCCCAAAAGACTCATGGCTGTATAAGATCAAAAGGGTCCTTCTACTAAATACTGAGCAAAGGGTCTGAATTCTTGATCCACATGATACGTTGGTTTTTCTTTTTTAATAAATCTGCAAAAATGTCAACAATTCTCTGTTTTTTCTGTCAAAATGGACTGCTGTGTGTACATTAATGAATGGATTTTTTTTAAATAAGTTATTATAGCAAATTACTACAATATAACAAAGAGTGAAAAATGTAAGGGGGTCTGAATACTTTCTGTACTCACTGTATATAATAATAATTTTTAAAAAATGTAAAAAGATAAGTTTCTTAAAGCTTAACTTAAATGATCACTGAATTCAGGCACACTAACTGCTTAAGGCTCACACCAAGAAATCATCTCAAATGGCCAGTATGCATATATTTAGAATCACTTTATATCAAAAGAAACATTACAAAAATGCTTAGACAAGGCCTGGGCAAGTAAACAGAAACTTACCTGAGCAGCTACAGGAGTGGGCAGTCTGTTTATCTTCTTCACCAGACCCGGTCTGATTGAGCTCAGCAGTCTGAGAGATAGGGGGAAAGACACACTGTAAACACTTTGATTTAGAACCAAAGCCCTACAAAGGTCGCTCAGACCCAATCACACATATTTGATTAATGTCTACTTTGCAGTTTTGTCAACATCGTCGGCAGAGTCCAAGAATATTTGTAGTTTTAAAAGGCCAGTGATCAATGGAGGTTGCCACATCTGTCTGCATGAACCAGCAACGCAGACAATCAGGTTACCTCACCCACAACATGGATACTGATGATGCAAAGTGAGACTGATCAATTCCAAGGAGAGATTTAATGGCCCAATCTTTTTGCGGGATAAGATTTCTTTTGGGAATGATAATTAGCCAAAGAAAGAAACAAGTGTAAAGTCACATCAAGGCCCCTTAAAATGATAGCTCAGACTCATCATTTTTTTTAAAACAAAACAAGATATTCTAAAGAATGTTGCGAAAAAAGCAGCAACTACAGATAATCAATGGCTGTTCAGTATATCTACCTTTGTGTTCAACAGAAGAAAGAAAACCTCAGTGTAATTTTTCTGCAGCAAAGTGTTATATGATTTAATGTGAAGTCATATGATGCTCTTCATTATGATTAGATCATCCCTGGCTTAATGGAAATACAGCCTCATTCTACATTTTAGCAAAGCTTAGAAAACATTGCTCCAAGTACATTTTGTTACACGGTTCAGACAAAAAGTCCTCTGGAGAGCGCTGTTAACTTTTTTTGTATCTACAATTTTTTAAATACATTAGTTAGAGCTCGATCACAACAAAAGGTGAGGTGCACCCCATTGCCTTTTTTTAATAGTCGTGCCTAACTGAGTCTGATTTCTTCACTTTAGCCAATTGGTAAAATTTTTTATTTTTTTTTCTCCACTGTCGTCACTAGCTCGCATGGTTTGGGATGGGTAGAGCTACGCATCCATGGTTTTGCTCTTCAGTGTTTAGGCCCTCAGTAGTGATTATTAAACCACACTTAACTGAGCTGAACTGAACTTAAACCCTAAATGCTGAACTACACTGTTCCAATTTACTATGATCTTTTATGTGAAGCTGCTTTGGCACAATCTACATTGTAAAAGCTCTATACAAATAAAGGTGAACTGAATTGAGTTTTTGTTGAGAAAATATTTTTGTCACTAGGCAATGACCGAATCAGCTGCGTATTTTGTGTGAGCAATGCTATTATTGATATTGTTATAATTGTATTATTTAATAATATTGTGATATGCAAGATTTGTTAAGTCATACAGCTCCAGACAACTCAAAATAGGGACCACAATTTTCTCCTTAATCTTTCAAAGTCCCTGCTGTCATCTTGACAACACAAACACTGCTGTCACCTCAACGGAAACCCCACCTCAGCTTTCATTTGATTTTAGAATGAAAAGACGTGGCTGATGTAGCATGCATTTTCCACTATGAGTTGATTTTTTTATTTTATTTTTTCAACTGCAGACGTACATTTGATGGCTGATAAAATGTGTAATAAAAAAACTTCGGTGTGATCAGGGCCTTAGGGTACATTTTTCATTTCAGATATGCTGCCTCTAGACATCGATGTGAAGGCTAGGCTTGTCAGACTACTTAGAGCAGTGAACCACTGACTTAAACAAAAGCAAGTTTGTTTTCAAAATTCAACATAAAAAACATGCACTGACCATGCACCTCTACCTTAATTTTACATTGCTCTAACTTTTTTGTGAAACCATGCTCCACCTGTCTTGAAGCTATTGTTCCTGCACGAGAGTTTTATTATTTTGTTAATAAGAAGAAAGTGCACATATTAACATATTTGTCTACACCATGCTCTCAGCAGTCTGGGCAGTGTTTGGATGCTTGATTATAGCGTTTCACTAAAAGTATTTCTATACTTAAGTGAAAAAGGAAAAGGAATGTCACTTTGGTGGTTTAAAGAAGATTCTTTTTAGTGTAATCACCATTGGGTCTTGTGTGGTGCGAATTGTGAAAGTCAGATCTATGTGCCACTTAGAAAAAATTAATCGCTCCTTGATTTTCTTAGTGAAATGAAGGCTTGGATGACTTTAAATTTGACAGTTTTAAAATTAATGAAAACAAACCAGAAGTAATGGTTTTTGAAGGTACAGCTGGGACTCTTCAATTTAGGTTCGTTAGCTCTGCATATTACGCCTACAGTCACAAATTTAAGGGTGAAATTTGACAATCAGATGAGAGCGGTAGTTAAAATCTAGCTTTTTTAATTAAAACAATTAACAAAAATATAAAGCAATATATACTAAAACAACAGCTTGAGACAGTAATCCATGCTTTTGTGACCACTCAGTTAGATTACTGTATTGCAATGCACTGTATATGGGGAGTAGCAGGTCAGCTGTTGCCCATTTGCAAATGGTGCAAAATGCTGCAGCATACCTCTTATCTTGTACTCACAAATTTGACCACATTTACACTGTGTTAGCTTCGTTTCATTGGTTGCCAGATCACTTTAGAATACAGTTTAAGGTTCTTTAATTTGTTTTTAAATATCTAAATGGTCTTGCCCGACCTTAAATCTCTGAGCCGATACACGTCTATAAGCCCACTCGTTCTCTCAGGTCAGCTGACCAGGTTCTCCTGATTGTACCAAAAACAAAGCGTAAGCTTACAGGGGATTGTGCTTTCACTGTGGTGGGTCCTAGATTTTGAAATGAGTTGCCGCTGCCCGCAAGACAGGCCTTTTCCGTGTTCTCGTTTAATTCAGCTCTTAAAGCTTTTTCGTTAGCATTTGAAACCTGATCTTAATAACAAGTTATTTTAATTTATGTGCCTTTTTAGGTAGTTAAGCTACATTTTATCTTGTATTTTATGTATTTTATATAATATTATGCTTATTTTTATTTTTATTTTCTGTAAAGCACTTTGACTCATTTCTGTGTTTTTTTAAGTGCTCTAAAAATAAAGTTTGACTTGAATTGTGTGAAAATTCTATGCTTATGTATTATTAATGTAGTTTTAGCTTCACATTTTTCTGCTGACTGCTGCCACCTGCTGGTATGGAGACTCGTTTGCTCTCATGCATTCAAAGAACATACATTCTTGTTTCTTGTTGACTTTTGGAAGTAGTTAAATATTATTTTCAAACACAACCCTATGGCTGTAATTCAATAGTCCTTTGAACTAATTTTAATAAAAATCTGTTCATTTTGGTGTAATCAGTTTACCTTTAAAAAATTTTTTTCTTATTTTGGGTAGTAAAAGTATACTTGAAGTTTAGGGGTCTGGATGAAGACAGAGAAAGAGATACAGCTCCTGAAGGACAAAGAACATATTTGGATGGGAGATAAAATTTGTAATAAAAAAAAAATCTTGTTTCCTCCTGAAAATCTAGTTTCAGAAGAACAAGAAAAAAAGGTTGATTTTTTAAAGGATGTTTGCGTGTGTTTCATGTCAAGCTATAAATGTGAGAAGAGGAATCTTGGAGGATGCAGCTGGAATGTCTTAAAGAGATCAGGCATGAGGGGTTTTACAGGCCGGACACACTCAAGTCACGCTAAGGACACACATTAATGTAAAAGGCCATACATCATGCTTTTATATTAGTCTTGACTGTCACCAACTGCACTAACTGAAAAGGAGCTCGGTCAGAATTAAAACCCTATGTGACCAAGTGTTTGTGTGTGTGTGCACTTGTGGACTTAAATTTATATAATTCCATGGGTTTAACCTAGGTATAACAGTGCTGAAGTGACATGCCTTGCTTCCTCATAAATCATAGCACGTAAAACATTGAAAATTCCCCAATTCAGTTTAATTGCTAGATTAGGGTAAGACAATATACTGTATTAAGCATTCGTTTACAATACAAAAAATTTGTTGCTATCAAGTCCATATTTGTTGAAGATGTGTATGTGTGCACATGTCCTGAAGCAGTTTGAGACCTTGAAGTGTTTTTTTCTGACCTAACCTTCAACACATTCCAAACAGCAAATGATTTCAGTGATGTCCCTATTGTTTTAATATACAATAGAACCATCAAAGAGTGAGATCAGAGGTGAACTGTAATAACCATCAGTAAGCTCTCATAAAGCAATAATATCAAAAACATACCCAAATGCATGTGAACTAGACATAGGTGCAAATAGTCAACTAGTCCACTACTCCAGAGTAAAAATCTACACTTAGCAGTTAAAAGTGCAGTATGTAAGTTTGCTATAGTTAATACACACCTGGTTCAAAACAAATGCAAGCAAAGGTGTCACAGGAGGGATTCAAAGCAAGGAACAACGGAGATGAGGATCTAAGCGCAGGTAAAATAAGAATATTTTTAAGCAAAACAGGGACAAACAGAAGTGGCTGGTACAAAAAGGGCTCTCCAAAAATGTTGTCAAAAAACTGGCATAAAGTCAAAATAGGAAGCAAAAATGACCAAACAGTAAACAAGGCTAAGGTCAAAAAACAGGCAAAACAAAGAGATACAAAGGTACATCAACATCAAAAACTCCATGCCAAACTGGTGTATAAACAGTCTGAATGATCAGTCAATACAAGTGTCAGCTGTGTCAAACATGATGAGCAGCTGGTGTGTGTGACATGGCCTGATAGGATTTGTACATCCTAAACATGACATTTGTAGATCATCAGCGTTCTGTCAGAAGTGGATCGCTGGTGATCGTGACAGAAGATTGCCAAATTGATGACGCCAACAAGAATGTGCTCGACTGTCGAGCCTTAAGGCTGATTTAAATTACGTTCTAAATAAAATCAACAGCACACGATAGAAGGAATATTTTCAAATTAAAAGGAGTTTTTGTTCTAACCAACACCTCAAATTTATATTTTAGACAGTGCATAGAGAACTATGACAATATTCACCTCAGGTACAGCTCATGTGCTTTATTCAGTATTAAATCCTAATAATGTGTGTTTGAATGCCATTTTACGTGACATTTATTGCCATACTATTGAAAGCAGCGGCAGTTAGTTCACCTCAGATCTTCAAAATAAAATAAATTAAAGATGTTTATTTTGAATTTATTTCTATTATAAACCTTACCATTTTGTTGGAGTGCAGTGAGTGCACTATTCTGTGCTTCTGAATGGCTGTATTTAAATTTCTGTCGTGTTTTGTCAGGTGCAAACAGCCAAATTGCTTATCACTGCAATAGTATTCACATAGCGTGTTGTTAGGATTACAGTGTAACCTGCTCACCTAATGTTTACGTAATATTTTATGTTCGTAATATTTATTTTATTTGCTAATTAATAAGCTCATGTGGAACTCTGCATCTCATTTTAGAGGCTATTACTGTCCACCGAAAGGTCACATTTCGTTCACAGACACATGCTTTGAGAGCCTTCCTGGCTAAATGAATAAAATAAGCTGTTTTCAATAAAGGCATCCCGGGGTGCTGAATTATAATAACTAAAGTGACATTGGGCGGATTAATCAACCAAAACAAACACAGACATTCTGGCACGTAACGCACATGTTCAAAGTAGACTATCTGACTTCAGCATTGTTTTTCATTGCATCGTTTTATTCATTAGGTAATTTATTAATTTACTTTAAAGGTTTTTAAAATTATATAATAACTGAATCTAAATGACTTTATCTATTATTATTATTTTTAAGTGTTTACATAATGTCCCATAAGGATTTTAAATAGAATGGGCAACTATCAACATGTCACTATGACATCCAACTCTAAACAAAAAATAAATAAAAATCAAAGAGAACAAAGTCATAAAAGTTCCATATACATGTAAGTTTTCGCAAACATTGCTGTTTATATTTTTACAGCGTTATGTATTGACCAATACTACTAACATTCGAAAATAGCTCAACGGCAGATAAGGAAAGCTGAGGAAATGTGAGAAGTGGCGGAAGTGCATCTTTGTTATTGTTGATCTGCCCTGCAGACATAATTTGCATAAAAATGAGTAAAGTTATTCTGTAATGTACATTTCGCTTGAAAACTACTTTAAGTTTTGCTGAAGTATTAGCAGAGGCAAGTTTGATTGGTTGCTTTTTAATATACAGTAAACCAGACAAATCTTTCCTGTTTGAGTGCACAAATTTTGACTAGAATAAATAGCAAACTTAATCCCAATGAATAGCGTGTCTATTGTTAAGGGTAATTATAATTAGCTTATATTAGAAATAGTTTAACAAAAACACAAGGTTATGTGTATGAATTGAAGGGGGATTCTCTGCACTTGATAGAAATGACAACATTGTGATTACCCGACCATTAATGAGTAAAATGTGTAATGACACACTTTGAAGTGTTCAGCTAAACACTCCCTAAATCTTTCAACACAAACACTGCTGTTAACCATTACAATAAATGTAACCAACACTGTTAAAAGCCAGCCATCAAAGCCTCCACTCAAACAAGACTGCACATACAGTATAGGAAGTCTCCTGGTTAGATTTTACTCTGAGAAAAAGAAGACCCTAGTATTTTTACATGTACTGTAAGTTTTACAAGAGATCTTAACAATGTCTCAAACCGTGCACAGAGATGCCTAAATATTAAAGTTTACAGCAAAAATGTAGATCATATTAAACTTTTCAAATGAATAAATAATGTAATGTTATTTTTTTATTTTACAGCTTTATTTGTTATGGTCCAATATTTTTATTTATGTCTATTATATTGTTTGTTATAATAAAAAGTAAATAAAATCAGGACAAATGATCAAATTTTAACACCCCATTACATGACAGAATTACATTGTGTTTAACCTACAATATGTTTAAATCCATTCAAGACTAAAAAACAACAACAAAAAGTCTTCCTCTCCTAGAGTCAGAAGCATGTAGTATTTGTATTTGTTCTCTCTATCCTTCCTTTTCAAAAGCCTACCATTCTGTTATTAGTCAGACTGATAAAATGTTGTGATTAGCTTGCTATTTAAAGCACATGTCGGAAACCAGATGCCCATTTTTAGAGGTCTTATGGGGTCTTATATTATGCTAATGATAGGCTCTAAGGATGCTAAAGGATAGAGCTCTACAAAATCTCAACAAAGGGACTTCCTGAAAACACTATATCATTAACAGATGAAGAAAATGAGCCAGAAAAAATGTCTTGTGGTAGATGGAAAATCATTTTGTGTGTGCATAAGGATTTGAATCTCAAGTCGAACTCTGAATCAGCATCTCATTTCGGAGGCTGTTACTGTCCACTGAAAGTCACACTTTGGTCAGGGACACATGCTTAGAGAGCCTTCCTCACCGAATGAATGAATTACACTGTTTTTCACCAAGGCAACCAATGAAGTATAAGTTTCACAAACTAATTTTGAAAGGATTGACTACAGCTGATCCCTATCACTAATCACTAAATACCCAATCAGATTATTCCAAATTTATTGCAAATATCCAGCCTATTTTTTATTCCTCACCTTCGTTTTGGAAACCCCCCCCATCCAGCCCTTCTCCCTCCTCCTCATGTAGACATCTGATGACAATATATGCAAATTATATTTCATATTTCATTCATATTTGACTTTTAAATCAGGGTGAAAATTATACATAGACGATGGTGACATTTGTGGTATTAAACAAACGGTGGCAAATTTGCATTCCTGCACCATTTAATGGATAACTATGAAAGACTGCACATATTATTATTTTACTGTTTAACTTTCATGTATGAGCAAGTGTATAATAAAATAATGTATAAACTATGCATCTACTTTTATGATAATCTAAGGCTACATGTTGATGCAAACAATTATTTTACAATAAAAATGTTTTGTGAACACTTACGCTGTGTCAGTGCTCTAGACTTGCCAGTTTCAAACCGCTGAATTAATATTGTTAGAGCAAGCATGCATTCACGATGCATGAACAGTTATAGGGGTGGTCAAATGTATATTAAGTTATGCATTGTTTTAAATATTCATATTATTTAAGATACAGATCAGAGCAAACTAGTTATTAATTATTTAAAGGGCAGACCCTCCTACTGTACATGTTGTTTTGATGTCCTTCAGGGGGGATCATGCATTAATTGGGGGGTCAGACCTCTCCCCCCCACACCTCCTGTAATTCATACCTTGTATATAATTTCAAATATATCAAAATATTGCAAAAATGTCAGTTTGCATGTGTTTTTTAACCATTGGATTAACAAAGTTCACTTTTGGTATATGTTCAAATATATCAGTTATAATTTGATGTGCTCATATATGACTATTGCAATTCAAATAGTTGAAAGCAAATATGTAAATGTCCATTTTTACATTATTTGGAAAATGCATACATTTAGAGCTGGGCAATATGGCAAAAAAAAATTATCACCATAATTTTTTTTCTTTTCATATCAGTCAATATTGATAACTATCCAGATAAATGTAAAATCTTAAATCTATCAATTTAATAGGATTTCCAGCATGCCAATACCTTTGTGCAGCTGATTTAACACATTTTGTAAAATGTTTTAGCTGTCTGACTATATAAATAAAAAGATAATAAACAAAAGAACTATCTTAATTCAGCATTTATTGTTCAAGTTTTCAACAACCAAAGACATTACTTACAAGTTATTGGATATTATTGTTCAACATCAGAAAAAAATAAAACAAGTTTGGAACAAGTAAAAGGTGTGATAGAATTTTCAGTTTTGGATGAATTTTCCTTTTAATGGTGAATTTAGGGTGAAATATCCTTTAATATATTTTATTTAGGGGTGTTAACGATTACTTGATGATAGATGGATTGTTGATAACGCTTTAGTCAATAGACTTTATCGATGACTGATTAAGCATGGACATTTAAAGGTTTAGTTATGCTTTGCGCTGCGAGACGCGTCCATGCATTACATAATCAAGTGTGTGCAGTTTACCATACTTATAGAGTCTGTCACCCTCTTGACATCGCATATTGCGGGATCCATAAAAAACCTGTTATGCGCAGATTATAGTCGCAGGTGTTTAAAACCAAATTTTGTCTGACAGACTGGCACAAATAGGCCTGTGCAGACTCTCGTGGAAAATAATGATTAATTAATGATCCACTGTTGTTGTAAACATCTGTCCTTTATTTGCTTCATTTTTTATATGTCATTATTTTTAAGATTTTGTCTTGAGCATCAGACAACGGGTTCTCGTAAGGCACGTCTTTCGAAAATGATGACATGAGACTGCTGGGTAGTGACGCTGCTTTACAAACACTTGTTTGGATCTGTAATTTCTTAGCATCTTCATAACGGTGGTATTGTTTTAAACTGGTTCGTGGTGTTGCCTGCTTTTGATGACACGAGTCGTCTGCACATTTTCCAGTGCACGTTGCTCTGTTTTGAGTCGGATTGCAAAAAACTATGTAGCTCAAGACTACTGAAGTCTTGTCAACAATGTTTGTGACTGTAACCTTTTTTACCTTATTTTTTTTTACTCCTTCAAGAAAAAATAAAACTGTATGGCTGTAAACTTGCATACTGCATGCGGCATCCAGAGGGGCAGGCTGCAAAATGCCTGTGCAGCCTTATGCACAGTGCGCAAATATTATGGGGCAATTATCAAACTGTCATTATCGTTTTATCGAAAAATTATATATTGTGATAATTATCATTATTGAATTATAACCCAGCCCTACATACATTACATATTTTTAATTAACAAATTGTAAATATGAATAATATGCCACTTACATACATTCCATATATTATATTTCTATGTGGGTTGTGAGACTTGTGCAAAATGTTTGTTCCACAAAAAAAGAAAATAAATAATGACAGCTAAATGATTATGGCCGGCTTTTTAAATGTATCTATATACATGTGCATTAATATTACTCACTCGCACAGTAGGATGCCGTTGTCAAGTCCTGTTCTGAAGTCCCTGTCAGCAAAACTCCTGCCGGTCACTGCCTGCAACAAACGCACACAAACAAACATGTTTATCACACACCAGCTCAGCCACAACACTTTATTTCTGCAAGATTTACAAGGTCTAAAAAGCACCAGTGTGTAGTTTGAAGTTTACAGCAGAGTTTCTCAGAGCAATTTCTGGCATTACAAGAGAGAAAATTGAAGATGAAAATCAACAACACAACAGGAAATGACATTCTATGACACAGACAAAATCAAAGCTTATCCCAACTGCTTATTTCAGACCACTACTTCAGAGAGACGGGGATAAACAAACAGCCGCCCTCTCTCTTTCTGACAACACAAAGCTAACAGGCTTGTCGTAAGCAGCCGTCATCCTGGCTAAATCTCTTTCTCAGGCGAGTATCCGTGCTAATTATTCCTGACATTTGGGATTTACCTTCTGTGCTGCTTGTGTTTTCCTTCCTCAGAGGCAAAAGACATAAGCAGGTTACGCATTCAGTTTTATTGTGCTTTAATTATTACGGAATAAAACAGTTAGTTTATTTTACAATCTTTTGTCAAAATAGCCATGTTCTACTAAACTCTTTTATATGCGTCCAGAAAGAACAACTTGGGTGGAGATTTAAGCTAGAATTTACACTTCAGTCATATGATTTGGGGTAACAGACAAAACACACCACAAAAACACAGGACAGTCTTTTAAAACACACAATTCTGCCATAAAAAAAACATATTTTTTTAATGTTTTGCCAAGTAAACAAAGCCAATAATGCAAAAAATATACAGCTGAAAACAAAAGTTTAGTTGTATACACTACAAGCTACCAATAAATGTTTATTGGACATTCAAAGACTTGAAAAGAATTGAAACAATGAAAATGGGTAACAGCTAAATTAAAACAGTAAAATAGTAAGCAGTTGTGTTTAACAAATGCTATTCTCAAAGTAAATGGTCAGTATAATTCATTAGACTAAATTGTTAAACAAACAGTTGTTATGTGTCTGTGTTTAGCCGCTAGTGTTCTTAGAACTGTCAAAAAAAGTCTTAATTATGCCATTTATCAGCCAAGCCAAACCACATTGGCTAATCATTTTAAAAACATATCGGAGGACGACTTGAAAGGATTTGATTTTCATAATTTCAGAAAGGCAGCTATACTGTATATTTGCTATTATAGCAGACATTTAGCCATCATGTAGATTAATATAGAAATAAATGTTAATAACACTATAGATTATTACAGGGTAAATGAAAATTTATTCATAAAAGTTTGGAACCACTTGAGGGTGAGTGAATTATGAGTTTCTTTCTTTTATAAAATAGAATAAAATAAAAAAACCTGCTGTAATCTGTAAACATTGACTTTTAGTGTAGGAAAGACAAATTCTATGGATGTCAATGGTTACAGGTTTCCAGCTTTCTTCAAAATATAATTAAAAAAAAAAATACACTCAAAGCTTTGAAACAAATAAACAGTGAGTAAATGATGACAATTTTTATTTTTGGGTGTTTGCCTTTAACTTAGTTAAATGGACTAAATATATTCATTTATTCATTTTCTTTTTGGCTTAGTCCCTTTAATAATCAGGGGTTGCCACAGCAAAATGAACCGCCAACTTATCCAGCAAATGCCCTTCCAGTCGCAACCCAACACTGGGAAACACCCACACACTCTTGCGCACACACACACATACACAATGGCCAATTTAGCTTACCCAATTTGCCTATACCGCATGTCTTTGGACTGTGAGGCAAATCGGAGCACCCGGAGGAAACCCACGTGAGCACAGGGAGAACATGCAAACTCCACACAGAAACTGACACAGCTGGGGCTCGAACCAGCAACCTTCTTGCTGTGAGGCGATTGTGCTACCCACTGCGCCACCGTGCTGCCTGGACTAACTTTATATTAAATTAAATGATTTGTTCTTGTTAATTGTATTGGTTGTAAACATGACTGCTTGACATCACAGAACTGTCTTTCTATACTTTATCCACCTGACCATTATTGCATTATATACAATATTCAATTCAGTTAACAGGAAATGTATGAAATGGCAGCATGGTGTTGGCAAAAAAAAATTACACTGATTGAAAACTGACACCTACATCTATTTAGTTGTTTATTTGATTTCTTTATTTTTTGGAGGTTATTGTTTACAAGAACAAACCTCTTTTAGTAACTGTAAAATGTAAATTTAGACTTTAAGAGAAGAACTGCAAAAACCATATATCTATATCTCGCATGTCATTTCACAATTTCCACTTAAATACTACAACTTTTTGTACTTTTTGTATATATTTTTGAGTGGCCCGAGCAGCCGAAAACATTTGGATATGTTTGTAGAAAATGCCTTTTGTACAATGCACTGATATCGTTTATAGGGATGCAATGATTAGCTGATTTCACTATTAACCCCACTTTATTCATTAAAGGCTTTTCAATGCTGCATTTCTGTTGCATGGAAAAAAAGCTGCAGCAACTAAACAAAGTTATGCCAATAGGCACGCACATTGGATTAACTATAGCAGCAAGCCGTTAACATATTGTGTCTTTTCTGCACGCAAGTACATTATTTCCAATGGAAATGTGCAAATATTGGGATGCATGCCAGGCACGCAAGCGGACCAACGCACTTGCGCCATGCAGGCGCACACAGTAGAAATGATCTCACGCTGTAGTGGTGAGAGTTGTGCCTGGCTTTCAGTGCATTCATTCATTCATTCATTCATTCATTTTCTTTTCAGTTTAGTCCCTTTATTAATCTGGGGTCGCCACAGAATGAACCACCAACTTATCCAGCATATGTTTTACACAGCAAATGCCCTTCCAGCTGCAACCCAGAGAGAAATGGTCTATTGTTTGTGTTTTATTAATATTTCTTGCTCTATTTGGTTACTAAGCAGCAATAAACAACACTTTAAAATAAGCAGTTTTCTTGTTATTTTATAAACTAGTAGTGTTTTAAATTTAATAAATCCATAATAATGGTGATAACCAAGAATTCATGATTATTCTTCAGACTTTAATCGTACAACCAAAATCTGAAATCGCTGCATCTCTAATTGTTACGCAGTTAAAAACATAACATATGAATGTGTCTAAATGTAGAACAAGCCTGCTTAAGCAATACACTGATTTTGTGCCTTGAAATACAACATTTGGATATGCTTGTAAAAAAGGCCACATTGTACAATGCACTGATGTTATGTTGTTTCAAAATACAACATAATTATGTTTTAATGTAGAAAAAGTCAACGTGGGTGTCTTTATAAGCACAAATACAGCATATGGGCTCTTATATGCTGTTGTGTCATTACTTATGTTGCAAGTCATATCTCTACGACCCCTCGTTTGGGATGCTTTTCAAGAACTGGCCCCCATGACAAGGTAATTAAATAGCCCTGGTATAATGTGTCAATGGTCATACTGGAGTGATATAAAGACTATAAGTCTTTTTAAAAAACTTTTCTGACATTAAAATAGAATCCAAATGTCACGTTTTATTGGTCTGTGTGTTCCTTCTGTATGTTATGTGTCATGCCATGAGTGTTCACGTGTGCAAGGGTATGTGTTTGTTTACCTTTTTTGTGTTGACAGCGTGCTATCTAGTCAGCTGACTTAATCAGCACCCACCAGCTGATCCTGATTTCACTGGCTATTTATTCAGTTTGTGGTTACTGCTCGTCATCAGTCCGTTGTTGTTCTTTTGCCCGCATCCTTTGTTTTGAATGCTGTTCTAGTGTTCTCTGACTTCCAGCCATTTAGTATCCTTCGATACTTTGTTTATTTTTCATTAAATAAATCATTCACAATTGGATCCTCTCTGTCTGGGGACGTGACACCAAATCACTCCCATTTTGAGGTCCACTACAACATGACATAGGAAATGGGGTTTCCCCGCCCACTGAATTGCTTGACAGCCACGTATTAAGCCACATTCTCTGTAGTAATGCATATAGGACGTGCACAAAGCAATATGGATTAAAAGATCTGTTCAGCTTTCTGTGATCATCAACCATCATCGAATGTGATCAAGAATGAGTTTCACAAGTTTAAGACAATTTTAAAACAGGGTATGCCTTTAATAAAGTAGACAGTAAAATCACTGTAATTCATCACCTCAACTGCAAAGTGTCAGTACAATTATAAAAGGCGCTTCAGTCCCGGTTTGTGGACTTAAATCTGATTTATTTTGAACATTAACATAGCAGATATCTAAACATTATTCTTAGTGTATTAAGAGAAATTAGCTTCATATGTCTGTCACTGTGCTGTTTATCTACATCTAATGCAGCAGGTGAAGGCTACATGCATCACACTACATGAGTAATACAGAGCGATCTCCATGGCTTTGACACGCAATTGGGAATGGGGGGAGTATTTTGCATTAAAAAACAGCTACAATGTGCTAACAATATTAATCTATTTCACTCAAAATAATTATAATAAATAATCTGATAGGTATTTTGAGCTGAAACTGTACAGACACATTCTGGAGACAGAAAAGACTTGCATCAAATCTTGAAAAAGGGGTAAAAAAAGGTGCCTATTAATTTCTATATATTAAAATATCCAATCATTGTCATGCCTGATATGTACTGATATCTCCTGATATGTATAAATAAACAGCATTAAATACAATATATCATACACTGTTTTACCAGTGATGGGTTGAAGCTGGAAGGGCATCTGCTATGTGAAACATGTGCTGGATAAGTTGGCGGTTCATTCCGCTGTGGCGATCCATGGTTAATAAAGAGACTAAGCTGAAAAGAAAATGAAGGAATACATACTGTAGTATCACCAATTAATTAGGAAATGGAAAAGTGGAGCTCCAAAATGGCAGATGTGTCCAAAAGCTTACAATATAATACAATTTTGTTTTACCAATTTACTTTATTGTAATTTATTGTTTATATTTTGTTAGTTATAGAGCAAAAAGACTCTGTTCAGTTATTTAACACTGAATGCCTTGAATAAGTTTGGGAACCTACATGAAACATCTAAAAACTGTTCAGAAGTGCACTTATAG